GTTAAAAATAAGCGAATATATGATATTTAATGTACGGACAACAGGTCGAAACTGCATACAAGTAATCCAAGTCCATATCGGCAATATTGACTCAACTACCCGATCGTTTAAATCGACACGGTTTTGGGCTTAAAGCGTAGTTTTCTATATGCGTTAAAGTTTTCTACATTTTTTATTTTTTTATTAACAATATACGATTTCCATACAGAATGTCTGTGGTTCGAATCCTCAAATCCATTATTGCGAGGCGCATATCAATTTCACGCGATTAGTTAGCAATTAATATTTTATTGTACAACTGATCAGTGTGTATAGTTAGTACCTACTATTAGAATGATATTATGTTATACGCTGACACGAATAATTCACTATAACGTGTACAGTGTTGATGTGTAAACGCCATTCCAATCAAGTTTACCGTTGTCATTATGTCTCTAGTAAAAAAGTACCATTCGTATTACATTTCTGGAGGCATATCGCCATCAATTAATTGCAAACAGTTGTGCGCATTTAGTGATTATATTCAATTGTATAGTTGTTACTTGTTTGTAACCGTACAATGTATTTACTGTGTATAAAGGTACGTAGGTACCCATCATGTATGTATACCGCACTGTGAAAACAATTTAATAACTGTTGAAGAATTGTTTTTTTTTTTTTTGACAATCCATACTACCTGTCTGTAGCTATAAAGTGTCAAGTCATAGTAAACATTCGCAACGATGTATTACTAATCACGACAATATTTAATTATACACACGCCTTGTATGAACATAATATTATTTTATGCTAAAATATATTGGTTTAGTGTATTTCACTGAAAATCAAAGACGATCCTATTGTAATATCGTAGGTAGATATTGTGATTTGTGATAACTGTAACGACAATTGTGTGATATCCAAAAATCCGCTTGCCATTTAGCCAAGCGTGGCCGATTAGTCTCCTTTTGAGAATAACTTCTTGGTCTTCATAAGAGGACGCTTCCAACATTTTAAATTATTTCAAATTGCTATGTTATGAGTATAAGACGGAGACAAAGCATGTTTCAGGTGTAGAGTTCTCTTAAGGAGCAGCAAAGTATTTCAAAAAGATTGCGAATTTACAGAACCAGCATACTTAAGTGTACTAATTTATTATAACTATTTAATAATTTCATGAAACATTTAAATTTATTAATTTGAAATGAAATTACTCATTTATATTCAAATGTTTGTTTTATATTATTATATAATTTATAACAGTAGCGGGAACCTAGTACTTAGACACTTAGACTATAGTTACTAGTTAGACTATTTTCTAAGTGACTACTTCAACAAATTCATATGTATGACACCTACACTATATAAATACTAATTAATCAGAATACAATTTAATACTTTCTAGTACATTATATATTTATAGACGATGGAAAAACAAATACATTTTATATATTACAAAATATATGATACTATGCAGGTGGTGTAATGTTGATTTTAAAAATTAAAAAACTTAGTACATTCAACTATAAAAAAATGTGTTTATGAAGTATTCACATAAACAATTTATAATATAATTAAAATATAATATATAGTTTTGTTTATTTACATACATTAGAACTACGGTATTTTTAAGTACAATAAATATTATGTTGTTTACATTTATATCCCATGGTAGTACATTTGGTTAAAATCAGCATTATACCTACTGACTAATAACATTATATTTGTATTATAATGTATATACAATATACATATGAATACGTATTTAATCATATTTAACTATATTTGAACAATAATGTTCGTTCCATCGTTTTTATAAGTAACATTAAACAAAAACATTATAGGTACTTACAGACTACTGTGAACAGTTATAATTTACATATGTTACGGTTTTGCCGAAATGTCTTATTTTTCCTATATTTTTTTCCCCCGGATAAAAATAGATCCGCTTGCGATAGAAGAAAAAAATGTCCGCTAACGTTACACGAAAATTACGTTATCGCCGAAAAAGGTAGACATGGCAACTTTTACCTTAGATACGTAATAATTGTTGAAATCGCCCAAATTTATTCGGACACGCACGCGATCACAGACGAAACGTCTATATTTACAATGACCTGCAGTAATTATTTATTAATTGTGATATATTCACGACGTAAAACAGACGTATTATGCCGATAAACACGTAGTTTTAGTAACTATTAAACATGAATACATCTAGACATTTATAATTAAACCAAGTTTTAATAATTACCGCTTGAAATGTCAACAACTCAATGCCTAATTGCATACACTTGAGTGTATAATATACATTATACATTGTTATAGTTTATCGCCAATGGCTGTATATAATAGGTATTAAATATTACTCTGATTTTTACTTTTTGTATCAATAATTATTAATAATAACAAGAACGTTAAAATGTGTGAATATTATCACGTGGTCCCACAGGCCACAATATTCCCGCACATTGGCAAGATAATTTGAAAACCACTTTTGATTGTTTTGTTTAATTATGCTAAATATTTCACTGCAACTAACCGGAGAAACAAAACTTGTGCCTAATGCCACGGTGGTAATTTTGAATTTTGAATAAATTTTTTTTTTTTTTGTTTCACAATAAACGCATTAAAAAAATTTCAAATGTGAACACATCAAAATAATATTATAATAAAGTAAAAGTTATCGAGTTTATGTTATGGTAAACAATTCACGTTTTATGACCATTGGGATGATGGCATATTTTAATAGTCTCTATACGACCATGCAAATCGGACATACAAAGTGCGTAATATAGTAGAATTTCGTGTTGCGCACTATTTAAATGTTTATATTATTTACAGAATTCAAAGTATCTATACGTCTTTACCTATAATAATGTAATGTAATACCTGTTGAACAATACAATAAATGAACCTTGCCTATTGATGCAGAAATCATTTATTTGTACACACGGTGTGTGTGCGTGTGTGTGTGTGTATGCTCGCGTGTTTTATTTATCGTATAAATTATACCATAATCGATAAAATAATAATATATTATATTGACTGCAGTTTAACGCTATCGGTGATGAATACGAATATTATCTAGATTGCTAAACGACCGTGACTGCCAGTAAGTAGGTGCGACCGTCAACACCGCACGAGAATAATATTATGTACATTTACACAGTATCATAAACAGACAATTTCACGCGTTTTATTATTTCCACCGTGTACACCCGAAATATGAAATATTAAAAATAATAATTGACTGATGAGAAGCATAACTATTGTATTCATACTTTTGTTTTAACTCTCATATTATATTATATTTCACTCGTCAGTTTTTTAGAGTGTTGAATACGTCATTCTTGCAGAACTACAAAGTGGTAAATAGTATTGACGAAAAAGTATTACAATAACTTCAATGTATTATCTACGAAACAAAAGCGTTTTGTATACCTACCTATTGCATTATTTATTTCAAAAACAAAACAAAAAGAAATATAGCTTGCTACGAGATATTTTTTCTCTACGGAGAAAACTGAGGAATCATAGATATGTTTTTGGGCACAGTGCAGTGGAAAAATATCTAGTGGAGAGCTACATTTTGTTAAGAATTTAACGAATTAGGAATTTATTGTAGATTGGTTTTTAATATAATATATTTTATTTTATTTATTGATTTGCGTTTCAATGGCGATATAGTCAAGTGACTTTTATTTGTATATGGGTACCTTAACAATGTTTTACTTTTTGAATTCGATTTCAAATAATAATAATAATGAATAATAAAAAGTTTATAATAATATTATGTGGATACCTATATTGTTTATATATATATATATTACATACCAATATATTGCCTAATAAATCACTTTACATTGTAGTGGTAATTTTATTTTAGTCCCCATTGTTATTAAATATATTCACAATTTATGCGAAAAAGAATATTTCAAGTTTAATTTGAACACTTATGTATCAATCCGTATTTAGAAACATTTTTTTTTGTTTTATTAGGAATTGTTAATTTATGGAAATCAAAAAATACGAAGAAATGAACGCGGAAAAATTGGTTTTTAAATTTGATACGCATAAAGTTATATCTGATACTTATTGTAGTTAACATATAAAGAACTCTTATTCTAAAAAATTGTTTTACATAACAACATATTTTACCCTCAACCACAAATAACTATTAAGACTATGCTATTATAATTTATTAATAACGTAATGATATATATTTACCTATAGGTAACTGCTTACTTCGACGTTCAAACACATTTTGTTAAACTCAATTAAAACTACTTATTACATCCTAAATTAATTTTAAAAGGCCAAAAATAGTTGATTGCATAGTTAATATGAAAAATTAAATGCAATGTTTTTATTGACCTTGCTTTGTTAGATACCATTTTAAACTTTGAAAATAAATAAATAGTAAAAAACGACATGGGTGAACTAGATATATAAATAATTTAAATTGATTTTCAAGCTAAAATCATGTAAGTATAGTTCAACGCGTCACAATTTTCTTAGAATCACATTTTATTAACGTTAAAAAAATATATAAATAGCAAATATCAATTAAAAAAGCACTTACACTTAATACATATTTAACAATATTAGTTTACTTTATCACTAACTCAATACTGGTTTAAAAACCCAATATTTTTTAAATGATTTTAGGTGTTTGTCTTTTTCCTTCAACAGTTAACAGAAGGATCTCTTGAGGAACGCTGACTATTTTCTGATCTTTACAGTTCATATCGTATACCCTTAAGCTAGGGTTGTTCTGAGTTATCTACACACAAAATGATATAAAGTGTTTAGTGTATTATTAATTATATGACACTTGTTTGTAAAGTCATATGAGACTTACCACCCGTGTAAGCAACACTTCTTGAATAGGTTTTTTTTTAACGTTTCATTTTAAGTTTAGGACAACATGAATAACAATATTGTGATACATTTTATTTTATTGTTAGATACTATACTATTTTAAATTAAATTCCGATTTCCGATTGTTCTGCACACAGTGCCTGTGCATGATGGATTTGGGAGCGGCGATATCGGTGCCAACGGGCAAGACGACGCCCATCGAACCTGCTGTGCCCGAGCCAAAAATAATTCCTGTGCCTGGTTCCTATCTGGCACCACCGGCTCCCGTACAGGAGTATTCGGAAGAAAGACCCGAACCACCGCCATTGGATCCGTCTTATGTGCCAATCCCATATAACTTCATCGAGTACTTGGCGCCTCAAAGTCTTCTACTGGTAACTATTTTATTCCTACAGCGAAACAATGTGGTGACGAAATTAATGCATGATCGGTATGAAAATGATTCGGAGGATAATTGATTACGGTTAATTATACATATAATGATTTTGTAGTGAATTATTTTGTTTATGAATGTTCCATCAATACCTAATAAAATTGCATGATGACAATGATAACCAGCAACTTTTATATATTAGGTATTTAAAATGTACACGTTGGACACTAAGTCACTAACTGTTTATGTATTATATTTATTTATGACACACCTACAGTTAAATGTTTTCATTGGTATGGTACGCCAAGCCTAAAGGAATATAATAAATATTCCAGATGAAAAATCAAAAATTAAAATGCGATTTAAGGTTAAACAGAAATTGGCCAAGATACGTCTTAAATCTTAAACAGCCACTTATTTTGTAAACAATATTGGGTACTTATTTTCATATGTGCTACTATCTACTAATGGATTAAGTTTCCTCTCACTGTCTCACTTCCTTGCATAATTTTTAAATTTCTTACAACAATTTACTTATTGTACTTTTTTATTAAGTAGGTACCTACCTACAGAATGTTAATACTCATAAAAAAATGAATATTATTTGAGTTACACATTTAAAGTTTATTATTACAATAATTGTATTGAATAATTACCAAACTCTTAAGTATAGAAAAAAAATTTTGATTCAACGCGCATGCTATTGAATGACCACCATGAGCACTCTGACCATAAGTTTTCAATAAAACCAAATAATCGTCCACTCTATTGAAGTAAAAAATATACGGTTATAAGGAAGTGTCCACTTTAGGGAGGATAAATGTACAAGTTCCTTTTATTATTTTTTTGTGAATTTGAAAAATATCCATCCTAGGAGATATTTTCAATTTTGGTATTTTAATTTCTCTATACACATAAGTATATGACATATTGTGTATTATGTTACCAATTATTTTTCTTGTTATCGTGATCATAACTAATTTTAATATGGTTAAATACTTAAATTATATTTCGATCTTTACTTCACAAACCTATAAACAATAAGTACACTGTAGATCAATTTTAGAACGACTCAATCGTATTAATTTTCCTAACTATAAACTTTAAATGTCTGCACCTCCTCTAATAATTGCTGTTCCATAATATTTAAACTAATAAAATCACTACGTTTTTTTTTTTAATCATATTTATTGTAAACCTTCTTCCTAAGCACAACCCCCGATTCCTTCCAATCGTCAACGAACCGAATCTTAAATAATTGTTGATTATATGAAAAGTTAAAACCAATACTTTTACTACACTCTACCTACTTAATATTATGTGTATGTACTTTACAGGTACCAATGAAAATTAAATTCCAGAAACCTTATTCAAAATATGAAAAATACCCACTTACAGCAATTAAGTATCAGAAGCTTATCAAAAATGAAAATATGAGACGGAAATACTATTCAAATATCCCACAACAAAATAATATTCCATTTAATTGATGAGTGTTATAAATTCTCTCATCGTCAAAAATGTTTGCCATGTCATATACATATATAATATGTAATTAAAATAAAATGTTATACATTTTTTACCTCTTAAAAATAATTGTTTTTATCTCTACTATAACCAACATTGTTTTGTAATATAATTTATATGTAATATTTTAATATAATATAATAACGTGTAATAAATGTCATATTTGTATTATAAACATATCGCCAATATTTGAATGTGTAATTTCATAATCCTTATCAACATCGAATTGTGTGGTCTATTTCATGTGAGACACTATTAATCATAAATATCAACAATAATTTGATAAACCTGCAATAATTTACCTATCTACTATAGCCATATACAGTTGTTTTCGATACGCCAAAGGGCAAAAATCAAAAAAGAAACTTTAAACTTAAATTTATCATAATACTGCGAAACAATATTTCAGCAATCATTTATATTAGTAGTCGCAAGAACACCTGTTGTATAATGTGAACACTCGCGTTACACCCTAAGTCTTATACCAATCATTAATCGTATACTCATTCCCCATGCATAGTCCATTCTTAATGTGGGGCATATATGTACATAGACATATAGTAATTCGACCGACGAGTATGTTTGTAATTTGAGAGGTGTGTATATGGAATCGGCAATGCTAACAATTTGATAATGAAATAAAAATTGACATCATTCATACAGGTATTTATGTTTTTAATGTAGCAAAATACTATTACAACAGTCAACAAGGACTGTTGAAACACTTTTATCAAGAAGTTTCGGGTTCGTGAACAAGCTTGTACTTCCTTATAGTTGCGATTATTAAAGGCGTGTAGTCAACATGTGGTGAGTAAATGTATTAATATTTTAGTGGGTAAAACATAATGCGTTAAATTTGTGTAACAATAAATCACCATCTTGATTTTTCTTATTCAAAACTAATTGTTTTTGACTCTCGGTAAAGTGGCCTATTGACAAGGGAGGTTACGGTTGTGCAAATTGGAACACTTTGTTTGTGTTATAAGGATTCGTCAGCAAGAACCTAGGAGGTGGTCACCCATCCGGTAGCCAGTGACGCCAAACAGTGCTTGACTGCAGCATATGTTAATAACTACTCCAACCTCCACACCGCACTAGGCTAAAAACTAATGTTTTAGAGCTCAAATCGGTGAAAACAGAAAAGTTAAGAAAGATTTGATACATGTGTACCTAAGTTATTTTTAATTAGCAACAGAACTTTCTTCCATTTTCTATGTTTCAACTTTCAATCGGTGTTATTTTTTGATTGTTGATGATTAAAATAAAAAACTATAATGTTTTAGGTATACAAGGTTTTTTTTAAGTAGGTATTATTTTTTTTTCATCAGAAACTCTTTTCTACTTAATATGTTTGAATATAATTTTTGGAAATGAATACAATAAGAACATATTAGTTATATATTCAATATCCAAAATAGTTATGATTTATGATGTACTTACCTATAGTACTACACTTATAAAATGTTGGTAAAAATTTAAAAAAATGTTTATGTTTCTTAAGAATCTGATATTGACAATAAATAAAGCGCATTTGTGCATATTAGTGTAAATATTTTATTATAATGTTATTAATATTTTTATTATTAATATTTTATTATAATGTTATTAATATTTTTATTATTAATATTATTATTACTATCATATTATCAAATTTAATTCATTTCCATTTATTATTCAAATTTGTACGTAAGTTTCAAACTTCATCAGGAGACGAATAACACCCAGTATAAATTCATATTTTATGCATAGTAAGCAATAAGGACAGACAAGTCTGTACATATACCGAATAAAACGCTCAGTATTTTTAAGTTATAAAATCTCGTACACAAACATTTTCACATTTTTTGAAGGTTTTTATCAAAAAAAATAAAATAACAGAAAAACTAAAATTCGAGGAACACAAAGCTACGATAATAATACCAATCAACCAACTCGTCGCCGAGCGGCTTGTTTGACGGGCTGTCATGTATGATGTCATCGAAAATCAACCGGAAATTAGCTGCCGGAAGAGAATATGAATACTCAAATAGTGACGAGTAAATCGAGTCCAGTTCAGTGACGAAGGTCAAAAAGAAGAACTCTCCGAAGGTGGCGTACACTCGTTTTATAAAGTATAGTCATGAGGACATAAAGACAAAATGCCTAAATAATGTACAAAGTTCATTTAAAACAAATACAGAAAACTAATGTAACTTATGAGTTACGTATAAATGATCTATTCAAATAATGTGTTTCATTCACTTGTGAAAGTTTCGATAAAAATTTTAAAACATATGATTGGACGACAAACTGAATTAGTGCCAGTAGGTATGGATGCTTATTAGATAAAGCATACGTTCGTTTTGTTTTAATTTTACGCGGTCTGTTATAGAATTTTGATTTTGAGATTATGAAAAAAGTAGGTACGTCGTGTTGCAAGATGCAAAAAAATATTAATGATAAAAAACAACATCATGTATTTATGTTATTAAAGACGTCGTCCTCCAAATTGAACGCATTTTTTTATCGCTCGGTGAAATGTCGGATGAAACCTGTACAGTGTGTTCATTGAATTATTCAAGTATCATCCTATTAGGTAATGTTATACTCGTTATACTTCAAATTTCAATGCGAATGAAAATCATACAAATAGTAACAATTTTCTTAGAAACAAATTAAATATATTCAGAGAGGATATTATATAACTAAATTTATATAAAATTATTTTTAAAAACCAGGGGCTCCTACATTTCATAACAATAAACAACTAATAGCTATTGTTAGTGTAGGTAGATTAAAAAAAAAAAACTATTCCATCTTTGCTGACACAGCCACACAGGTACCGTGAAATAGTTAAATAAACACAATAGAAGACCTCGGGAATATTACAATAATTATGTAACTAACAGGAAATCGATAATTATTGGCTTAAGTCAGGATAAAGGTGTCAGATTTGTACATATCAAAAAACGATTTGAGTGGGAATGTTCTAAGTGTTGAAGACAGTCATTGAATCCATGAAGTCATCATCATAATCCTAGATATACTATACATGCATATTATATCATTCGAGAGGAAATGTTTTATATTGAAATTTTCTATTAATAACACCTATATGGTATAAATACAAAACCACTAGGTGAACTTATTTTATTCCGATCATAATATTACAAATTTACAACTAAAAGCTTGAACGTATTATAAAATTGATCCAGGATAATATTAGGTAGATGCCCATCTAAGTTTTCGGGTTAAGTTCGATCCACCCCTTAAACAAATAATATTGATTACATTATACATATTTACCTGTCAATCTTTCCCAAAGTAAAAACTAAAAATCGACTAATATTCTCCGGGTTAATGACCCCAGATGTTGAAACCTTAGCTCAATAATTAAAAAAATATATATATATATAAACCGCAGTCCCATTGTCATAAATTAAGTTTTTAAATTTAAATTTTATAATTTATTATTCAATTTTAATTTAAAGTTTTAAGTATTAATAACAAAATATACAAACAAGAACATCAAACAGAAAATTATAATACCTTTTTTTATTGACACGGTGTATGGGTAATATCCTTACACATGGACAGTCACTTATACACTAATAATATTTATAACGTATTTATTATTATTTATTGAATTAAAGGCTTGAGCCCAGTAATGTAATAAATCAGCAAAAGTACACAAACGAGTAAAAAAGATAAACAAAACAATAAAAGTAAGTAATGAACAAAACAATATTATAACATTTACAAAAACTAAAACATACGCCCTAAATACAAATACTGAATTATAAAAATGAATGAATTAGGCAACGTTGAAAAATATGTTTGTTTAGCCACAGAACACTCCTTCGACGGTATAAAAACCTAAGTATTTGAAAGTATGGTCTTAAAGTATATTTAAAAATTTTAAAAATCATGATTTTTTTTTTAATGATATTTTAACAAGGAAATATAGTGATTTATTGACAATTATTATGAAAATATCGCATTAACAATTACACGAAGACAATCTTAGGCGTAGCAATAAACATTACTTAACCAACTATGACATTAAACATGTAAATACATAATACGAGAGGTGAGATACCTAATAATTATTATAAGTCACAATAACTTGGTTATATGATTGATAACCAATCAAACGAAAGTGGATACCGACCTCACTGTGTTCAGATATCATAGGAACATAACACAATCGCATTTACAGGATCTAAATGTAATATAATGTTTATCGTATGATATTGTACATTTTACACAAAAACAATAAACATATGCTACCTGACTAGTAGCTCATGAACGCCGAATACAGATCAAGCATAACACCGATGACATCGTTCAATATAGTACCTGCTATGTTCAATCAATGTAGTGCCTGCGGTGTACGCTTTGAGCAGAAAACATTTAGACACCAACAGACGAAACTTTCTCTTTCGACTTTCAGAAGAGACGACATTATTTACACGTTATTATTATGTTTAATGATACGTATTCACAGTGTTTACGGTGTATAATATAGGTGCGCCTATTACGGAGGTAGTCAACATGTGAGTATTATAGTTGTGCGCAATCGTAAGCAGCTATACAATATCATGTGTCTACGAGCACACGCAGTGAGCCCCTCAAATACAAATACGTGTGCGACCACACACGTGGGTTCGAAAATATAATAACATCACCTACCTTTGTGTACATGGGTACACCGATCGCATGCGACTGCATCGTTGGTCGTGGAGGCGTAGGTATAATGCGTTTAGTTTTCGACGCAATATACGTAAACATACGGTGAAACGTGCGCTGTTCGCGACGACTGGACAACGCGATCTATCGTCCGCCGAATTCTAATAAGACGGAATGGAATAGAAACGGTTCTGTTGGTCGAGTTTTTTCATTATTTCATTCGGAATACTCAAAACGGTTCGAACATTATACATTACCCGTGCGTGTATAAATAGCTGATACACCGATGCAATATTCTGTGTCATTCGACTCTCGTTTGCCGATGGAACCGCAACGATTTCGCGTACCTGCACGCATATTGTTTCGAACAATTATTTACAGTTGCCTACTCTGCACACGGATAACACGTCCAAATATCCAAT